TCCCATCTGAACTCCGAAGTTAAGCAAGTTTGGGCGAGAGTAGTACTAGGATGGGTGACCTCTTGGGAAGTCCTCGTGTTGCATCACCACAGCCGACCCCACCTAGATGGAAAGACTTTGCTGTTGTTGTTGTATGTTGCTTGTATCTGTTCTACTTTATCATTTATGCCTATTTATGCTAGAGTGTTAGTCTTGTCTCTTCTATCCCCTTGTAGTGCATTTGATGGTAGTCTCCCACATATTTTACTTCCACTTCACTTTAATTCTCATTCCGTTGTTAGTTCAGAATTTTGGAATGATCCTGAACTGTCTATTGGTTAAGACAAATTTGGACCTTATTTTCCACCCCATTTGTGAGGCATATAATTTTGTGCCCTGACTTGATTTGGTTATATTGATAAGCTTTGCTTAGTAAGAGTGTAATTTATGAAAAACGGAGGATTCTCTATGTGTAGCTTTCCAATTTGTTATGTCTCATTTTGCAAAGATAACTTGCAAATGGATTTGATTTTTTATGTTATAACTATTGTTTGTTTCACATCTTGATACTTTGTGCTTTTGATGTTTAATAATGTGGCATGAATTTAGGAATGCTTACAATATGTTTCTGCGCAAATTTGGAGAGAAACTTTACTCTGGTCTGGTGACAACCATGACTTATCATCTAAAAGAAATGTCTAAGTCGATTGAAACTGCTCGGGGGGAGTTGTTTCTGGAAGAGCTTGACCGGAAATGGGCTGAGCATAACAAAGCGTTGCTGGTAATTCAAGACATATTGATGTACATGGATAGGACTTTCATCCCAAGCACCCACAAAACCCTATTCGTGAGCTTGGGTTGAACCTGTGGAGAGATGTTGTTATCCATGCTAGCGAAACCCAATCTAGGCTTTTGGATATACTTCTTGAGTTTGTGCACAGAGAAAAGAGTGGCGAAGTAAGTCACAGAGGCTTGATGAGGAATATTATAAAAATGTAATGGATTTAGGTTCTATTGTTTACCAAGATGACTTTGAGAAGCATTTTCTTGAGGTTTCAGCTGATTTTTACTGTTGTGAGTCTCAAGAGTTCATAGAGTCATGTCATTGTGGGAACTATTTAAAGAAGGCTGAGAGACGCTTAATGGAAGAAAGGGAGAGAGTGTCCCATTATTTGGATGTTAGAAGTGAAGCTAAGTTAACTATTATGGTGGAGAAGGTGATGATTGAAAGTCACATGAACAAACTAGTTCATATGGAAAGCTCAAGTTTAGTTAATATGCTTGTGGATGAAAAATATGACGACTTGGAAAGAATGTATAGCTTGTTTTGCAGGGTGCATAATGGACTTGTAATAGTACGAGATGTCATGACCGCTTACATATGAGATACTGGTATGCAGCTAGTTACATACCCATAAAGGTTAAGGGATCTTATAGATTTTGTGCAGCGTCTCCTGGATTTGAAGGAAAAATATGACAAAGTTATCAGCTTGGTGTTTAACAATGACAAAACATTCCAAAATGCTCTAAATTCCTCTTTTGAATACGTCATCAATTTGAATGCCCTGTCCCCTAAATTCATTTATCTGTTTGTCGATGACAAGCTTCGTAAAGGACTAAGAGGGGTTAGCGAGGAGGATGTAGAGGTTGTACTAGACAAGGTCATGATGCTTTTCCGTTACCTTCAAGAGACAGATAAGGAGATGATTGAAGGTCACATGAACATACTAGTTCATATAGAGAGCTCGGGCTTAGTTAATATGCTTGTGGATGACAAATACGACAACTTGGGAAAAATGTATTGCTTGTTCCGCAGGGTGCATAATGGACTTGTAATAGTACAAGATGTCATGACTGCTTACATCCGAGATACTGGTATGCAGCTAGTTACCGACCCAGAAATGTTAAGGGATCCTGTAGATTTTGTGCAGCGCCTCTTGGATTTGAAGGATAAATATGACAAAGTTATCAGCTTGGCATTTAACAATGACAAAACATTCCAAAATGCTTTAAATTCCTCTTTTGAATACGTCATCAATTTGAATGCCCGGTCCCCTGAATTCATTTCTTTGTTTGTGGACGACAAACTTTAGAAATGACTGAGAGGGGTTAGTAAGGAGGATGTAGAGGTTGCACTGGACAAGGTCATGATACTTTTCTATTATCTTCAAAAGAATGATAAGAAGATGATTGAAGGTCACATGAATAGATTAGTTTATATGTAGAGCTCAGGCTTAGTTAATATGCTTGTGGATGACAAATATGACGACTTGGGAAGAATGTATAGCTTGTTCCACAAGGTGTAGAATGGACTTGTAATAGTATGAGATGTCATGACTGCTTACATCCGAGATACTGGTACGCAGCTAGTTACTGACCCAGAAAGGTTAAGGGATCCTGTGGATTTTGTGCAGCATCTCCTGGATTTGAAGGATAAATATGACAAGGTTATCAGCTTGGCGTTTAACAATGACAAAACATTCCAGAATGATCTAAATTGTTCTTTTGAATACTTCATTAATTTGAATGCCCGGTCCCCTGAATTCATTTATCTGTTTGTGGATAACAATCTTCGGAAATGACTGAGAGGGGTTAGTAAGGAGGATGTAAAGGTTGTGCTTGATAAGGTCATGATGCTTGTCCGTTATCTTCAGGAGAAAGATGTCTTTAAAAAGTATTACAAGCAACACTTGGCAAAGAGGCTTCTTTCTGGGAAGACTGTTTCTGATGATGTAGAAAGAAGTCTGATTGTTAAGCTCAAAACAGAGTACGGATATCAGTTTACTTGTAAACTGGAGGGTATGTTCACTGATATGAAGATCTCTCAGGATACGATGCATGGATTCTACTCAACTGTGGGACCTCAGTTAGGCGATAGCCCAACGCTAATTGTCCAGGTCCTCACGACAGGTTCATGGCCTACTCAACCAAGTGCCACGTGCAACCTTTCAGCAGAAATTTTGTGGGTATGTGAGAAGTTCAAGAGTTACTATCTTGGGACCCATACTGGCCGGAGATTGTTGTGGCAAACTAATATGGGCACAGTTAATTTAAAATCAACTTTTGGAAAGGGTCAAAAGCATGAGCTGAATGTTTCCATATATCAGTTGTGTGTACTGATGCTATTCAACAATGCTGATCGGTTGACGTATAAGGAAATTGAGCAGGCTACAGAGATACCAGTCGTTGACTTGAAGAGGTGTCTGCAATCTCTGGCCTGTGTTAAAGGGAAGAACGTTCTTTGGAAGGAGCCAATGAGCAAGGACATAGCTGAGGAGGATGCCTTATTTTTTAATGAAAAGTTCACAAGCAATTTCTTCAATATAAAGATTGGTATTGTGGTTTCCCAAAGGGAGACTGAACAAGAAAATGTAGAAACCCGACGGAGAGTAGAGGAAGACAGGAAACCACAGATTGAGGCAGCGATTGTGAGGATCATGAAGTTAAGGCGGGTTCTGGATCACAATAACATTGTTGCCGAGGTGACGAAACGACTGCATGGGCTATTTTTGCCCAACCCTGTTGTAATAAAGAGACGAATCGAGTCTCTCATTGAGCGGGAGTTTTTGTAGAGGGATAAAATAGATGGAAAATTGTACAGGTACCTTGCTTGAAAGGAAAAGAAAACCATGGCTGGTTTCTTTTCTTCTTTATTTGTGGCTTTTGGCACAAACCTGTATGATTTATCCTACATTTGGTCAGTACGAATGTTGTTCTTGGACCATTACGGGTTGCGGGTGGGTTTCGATGAAGTACGTTAATGTATGTTTGTCGCTTAAATCTTTCCTCATGTTTTATTCAACTTCTCCGAATGGGATGATGAACTATTAATCTTACTACATAGAATGTTGATACCAATACGTGGATTAACTATAGTGTCCAAGGATTGAATCCCGTCAACTGTACGACCACAGACCCAGAAAGCCCCTACTCGACCACTCGATCATTTGGGCCCACCCACCTTCAATCTTTGGTCCGACCTCCCTCTTTTTGTTGGAGGCCGATTAGAACGAGTAGAGAACAAGAACACTCTCTTTTTAAGTGTGAGATGAAACAAAATAGTAAATGACGGTAACCCATATATAAATGTCACATGCCAAAACTAATGAAATTTATTAGGCGGTTTAATTCGGTTTAGCCGGTTTCCCGTATAGGCAACATCAAACCATTCCAATCTAATTACAACTTGGTTCATTTTAATTAAATATTAATACACTTTTAGCTTTAAAACCAACCAAATCGGTCGAATTGACTCTACCAACGTTATACCTTACCATAAAAACATTTGAGTTACAAGCTTTTAAAATTGCGCTAACAGTGTTAAGAGAGAGATTTTTAACTCTAGTCAAGTGGTTAGCATTTTACCTACATATACGTAATGCTACTCACTTAAAGTCCCCATTTTGAGTATCTATACATCTTTTTATATAAACCTTACTAACTCAAATCCCCTTTATTACACTCAAATAAAATTCTAATTGGTAAAAAAGAGAAAACAAAAAGAGAGAAGAAGATTTGATGTCAAATCCTTCTTGATGGTGAGCTGGGGTTTATTAGTCTTTTTACACTCAGCGTCTACGAATCAAAAAGGGCTAACAAAGGAGAAAAGAGTTGTCTCAAATCGTCCAAAGAGAAATGTTACCAAAACTCTCTCAAAAGTGAGATTTTTTAAGAATTCTTTGTCAACTCATATATTTGACACAATATTTTATAATATTACCATGAAAATTAACGTATAGAAAGTTCCATCTTAAGAGAGTTTTTTTAGCATATATCTTGTTCACATAATAATGTAAAAAGCCATTTAGTACTAAGGTCTGATAATTTTTCTCTTCACATGTAAGTGAGAGGTTTTAAGTTCGAATCTTATGGATATCGAATTCGATATCAAATTAAGTTGTCTATTACGAGGCTTAACCGAACTTCTTCTCCTTATAGTATAAAATATATTTTTGTGCTAAAAAATAATAATAATGCAAGAACACCAAATTTATTAAAAATAAAAAAAAAAATCACAAAATAAAGCGGTCGACATTTCTCACTCTCTCTTGCGTCTCCGTTATCATTATCCCCGGGTTGTCCCGTTTCCAATTGGAAACCCCTGATTTCTTCGTCCCAAACCCGTGCATCTCCAAAACCCCTTTCTCACGTGCTCTGATCGTTTGATCTTCTCCCCAATTCGGGTCAACAGCCAGGGTTTTCTCGCAGTACCCGAACCGCCCGATCTCAATCGGGTTTCTAGGGTTTGGAATCGGGACCGCGTATCAGTTAATCGGAGGTGTTAGGTTTTCAGCTGAGTTGTTCGAGAAGATGAGTGGTCAGAAGAAGAGGAACTTCCAAATTGAAGCCTTCAAACATCGGGTCGTGGTTGATCCGAAGTACGCTGAGAAGACGTGGAAGATCCTGGAGCATGCGATTCATGAAATTTACAATCACAATGCTAGCGGGCTCAGCTTCGAGGAGCTCTACAGGTTTGCTGCTTAGCTCTTTCGATTAACGCAAAAGGATATGTAATTACGCATGAATTATGATCTAGTTTTTGGGTAATGAAAATGTTGATTCTTGTTAGGAGGTGATAATTTGTTCTGGGTTTGTTGGATAACTTCATTTCTGAACACTATTAGTTAAAGTTTGATTAATTTGTGAGATACAGCTTTAAGTATGATGATCGTACTCTTATGTTGCTTTCGGGGTGTATGATTGCTTTTTCGCCCTAGTTTTTTGTTTGTGATCCAGTTTCTCAGTTTACATGTTGATTTAGGTGTAATTGATGGTCTTATGGTCTACTTGTGTAAGGAGTGGGTTGATGACTCGCAGCGGATTGCATTGTATCTAATAAATTGTATACTTCCCGATTGTTATTTCTTAATTTTGTGCATGTTGCCCTTTGGTAGTGTGAGAGCTTACTTTGTGTAGTTATGGTAGGAATTTGAGTGATTATAGGCTATTTAAAGGTTTGGCATATTTATTTGTTTCCAAAGTTACGTGTCACGATAATTCTAGGATATCTTTCTGGTTGATCACGAGGTGCCAGGATATCATTGTATTATCTCTTATCTATGTTGCTTATATCTGTTCTACATTACCATTTGTGCTTATTTATGCTAGAGAGTGTTAGTCTTGTCTCTTCTATCCCCTTGTAGTGTATTTGTTGGTAGTCTGATAGATTTTACTTCCACTGCACCTTAATTGTCATTCCATTATTAGTTCAGAATTATGGAATGATTGTGAACTGTGTATTGCTTAGGAAAAATTTGGACCTTATTTTCCACCCCATTTGTGAGTTATATGATTTCGTGCCATGACTTGATTCGCTATATTGATAAGCTTTTCTTAGTAAGAGTGTAATTTGAGGAAAGCGGAGGATTCTGTCTGTTTAGCATTTCCAGTTTGGTATTCTCATTTTGCAAAGATAACTTGCAAGTGGATTTGATTCTTATGTATAATTACTATTTGTTTCACATGACTTTATGCTTCTGATGTTTAATAATATGGCGTAAATTCAGGAATGCTTATAATATGGTTCTGCACAAATTTGGAGAGAAACTCTACTCCGGTTTGGTGACAACCATGACTCATCATCTAAAAGAAATATCTAAGTCAATTGAAGCTGCTCAGGGAGAGTTGTTTCTGGAAGAGCTGAACCGGAAATGGGCAGAGCATAACAAAGCGTTGCAGATGATCCGAGACATATTGATGTACATGGATAGGACCTTCATCCCAAGCACCCACAAGACCCCTGTTCATGAGCTTGGGTTGAACCTGTGGAGGGATGTTGTTATCCATGCTAGCAAAACCCGGTCTAGGCTTTTGGATACACTTCTTGAGCTTGTGCACAGAGAAAGGAGTGGGGAAGTAATTAACAGAGGCTTGATGAGGAATATTATAAAAATGTTAATGGATTTAGGTTCTACTGTTTACCAAGATGACTTTGAGAAGCATTTTCTTGAGGTCTCAGCTGATTTTTACCGCTGTGAGTCTCAAGAGTTCATAGAGTCATGCGATTGTGGGAACTATTTAAAGAAGGCTGAGAGACGCTTAACGGAAGAGATGGAGAGAGTGTCCCATTATTTGGATGCTAGAAGTGAAGCTAAGATAACTAATGTGGTGGAGAAGGAGATGATTGAAAGTCACATGAACAGACTAGTTCACATGGAGAGCTCAGGTTTAGTTAATATGCTTGTGGATGACAAATATGACGACTTGGGAAGAATGTATAGCTTGTTCCGCAGGGTGCAGAATGGACTTGTAATAGTACGAGATGTCATGACCGCTTACATCCGAGATACTGGTAAGCAGCTAATTACTGACCCAGAAAGGTTAAGGGATCCTGTAGATTTTGTGCAACGTCTCCTGGATTTGAAGGATAAATATGACAAAGTTATCAACTTGGCATTTAACAATGACAAAACATTCCAAAATGCTCTAAATTCCTCTTTTGAATACTTCATTAATTTGAATGCCCGGTGCCCTGAATTCATTTCTCTGTTTGTGGATGACAAGCTTCGGAAAGGACTGAGAGGGGTTAGCGAGGAGGATGTAGAGGTTGTACTGGACAAGGTCATGATGCTTTTCCGTTATCTTCAAGAGAAAGACGTCTTTGAAAAGTATTACAAGCAGCACTTGGCAAAGAGGCTTCTTTCTGGGAAGACTGTTTCTGATGATGCGGAAAGAAGTCTGATTGTTAAGCTCAAAACAGAGTGCGGATATCAGTTTACTTCTAAATTGGAGGGTATGTTTACTGATATGAAGACCTCTCAGGATACGATGCATGGATTCTACTCAACTGTGGGACCTCAGTTAGGCGATAGCCCAACGCTAACTGTCCAGGTCCTCACCACAGGTTCATGGCCTACTCAACCAAGTGCCACGTGCAACCTTCCAGCAGAAATTTTGTGGGTATGTGAGACGTTCAAGAATTACTATCTTGGGACCCATAGTGGCCGGAGATTGTCATGGCAAACTAATATGGGCACAGCTGATTTGAAAGCGACTTTTGGAAAGGGCCAGAAGCATGAGCTGAATGTTTCCACATATCAGATGTGTGTACTGATGCTATTTAACAACACTGACCGGTTGACATATAAGGAAATTGAGCAGGCCACAGAGATACCAGCCAATGACTTGAAGAGGTGCCTGCAATCTCTGGCCTGTGTTAAGGGGAAGAATGTTCTTCGGAAGGAGCCAATGAGCAAGGACATAGCTGAGGAGGATGCCTTCTTCATTAATGACAAGTTCACAAGCAAGTTCTTCAAGGTAAAGATCGGTACTGTGGTTGCGCAAAGGGAGTCTGAACCAGAAAATCTAGAAACCCGACAGAGAGTAGAGGAAGACAGGAAACCCCAGATTGAGGCAGCAATTGTGAGGATCATGAAGTCAAGGCGGTTCCTGGATCACAATAACATTGTTGCTGAGGTGACGAAACAGCTGCAGGGGCGATTCTTGCCCAACCCTGTTGTAATAAAGAAACGAATCGAGTCCCTAATTGAGCGGGAGTTTTTGGAGAGGGATAAAACAGATAGAAAATTGTACAGGTACCTTGCTTGAAAAAAAAAAACCATGGGTTGGTTCCTTTCTTCTTCATTTGTAGCTTTTGGCACAAGCCTGTATGATTTATCCTGCATTTGGTCAGTTGGAATATTGTTCACGGATCATTACAGGCTGTGGGTGGGTTCCGATGAAGTTACATTAATGCATCTTTGTTGCTTAATCTTTCCTCATGTTTATTCAACTTTTCCAAATGGGATGATGGAACTTTGTTGGAAAGAATCATTCTCCTCCTGTATCAGATTTTGAGCACCAGTATTTACGCTCATCCAATGCAGGGTTTGTAAGAGCTCGTTAACTTCAAAATTTATACTGTTGCTTCTGTTAGTACATGGTGATGGTCATTAATAGCTTGTGAAATGATTGCTGTACTCCTTGACGAAGAAAACCATTTCGCAAGAAGCTGGGTAAAACTGAGCTCACAGGAGGATACCATTCCTCGCCCACTGTTTGTGGGATAATCAGCTGGAAATGCTGCAATATTGTTATGTTATATGAAATCCAGATTGGATGATCCAAGCAAGGCAAAGATTTGACAAATATGTCGATGAAAGGTTAGATTTCCACTTTTGCGCAAAAATGATTTCTTTTGATCTCTGTCCGGTTCTAGGAGACTTAGCATTGTGTATAGTTTGCTTTGATCTTGTGGGGTCGATGCGTGTTCTAATTTGTTGTTTTTCTCTCCCTGGGGTTCAGCTCTTGTCTCAGGCTTTTGGTATTTCTTCAATTTGTTCAGGATTTTGTAATTATCGTTAGCTGAATCAGTTTCCGATTAATTTCAGAAAACCCTCAATAAACTGAAAAAAGCATTGGGAAACCTGAGACAACAGTTGACACCGAAGAGAGAAACAACGAAGTTTAAGACTTTATGTAACTACTAGTCTCTTGCCACATGCTAACGGCGTGTCATTATGCTCCTTTTTTAGTTTATTCTCAGTTAGTTTTTTGGTTATCATAGTATGCTCTTTTTTAGTTTTATTTTGATTATTTTGCTGATTTTTCCTTTATTTAATTAAGTTGTTCTTTTAAAAGTTGTAAGAATGGAGGGCCACTTTTGGTATATGAATGTTTCACCAAATCTGTGTTCTCCCTTCATACAGAGAGACAAAAGCTTTTTTTTGGGTCTGGGAGTGAACTTTATAAGTTGGAGATGAGATCATGAGATGATGAATGGAACCAAACAAATTATGGCAATTAATATTTTTATTTGTTTGGCACACTCCAACTCTCACATACAACTTTTAAATTGAGAAATGATGGGTAATTTCCATTTACTTTAGATGTCGGAGATGAGATACAGGAGAAAACTAAACAAAGTAGAAGTTTCTTATTTGGTTAATTTGTTTAGTTCCCTCTAGTTCTCACATACGACTTTTAAAAGATGACCGGAATGTTGAGAAGTTTTTATGTGTAGGCACCGGATATGAGATATTGGAGAAAACTAAACAAACTAGGAAGCTTCCATCGGGAGATTAATTTGTTTAGCCCTCTCCTATTCTCAAATATGGCTTTTAAAGCCGGAAATGAGATATTGAAGGAAACCAAACAAAGTAAGAATTCCTGGTGGAATTTGTTTAGTCCCCTCCAATTCTCACATACGGCTTTCAAAACAACAATGAAATGTTGAATTGATTTGGAGAGACAGTGGTAGATAAGATGTAGGAGGAAACCGAACCGTGTTTTGGAATTAGGTTCAGTTTCCGTCAACTCTCATTTGCAACCTCTTCTTTCCGAGTCAATTGAAAGACTGAAGAGCAAGCAACTATGTATTTATAGGCATTTTCATTCCTCAGATCTCAATGAGAGATGTAAGATCTTTCCTTCATGCATTTGGTAATTCATGGGAGCAAAATTTACATGCTACTACAGTACTACTGACCGTCAAGGTCTAGCATACTGACAAAAATGGATTATGGGCCCCCAAACAAAGTTGTAAGTAAAACCTGGTGGGGTATTTTTGGGCTCGACCGTACATACGGGCCCAAGTTCATTCAGTTTGATGCAGCAAAGGGACGCTAAAGGAAGCCCATAAACAAACCCAATACGATGACTGATTGATGTAGTGTTATTTTAAATGAAATTTTAATAAAACACTTTCGGTACTGTTTATTTTTAACGAAAAATCACATGTTTACATTTTCTTAGTTCTATTCACTATACCTTTATTTGTTTTAATCCAATGATCATATGGTTTCGTATTTGGATGATTTTTGGTAGACATTGATATTTAGAGGAAGTGTTAAAAGATAGACAGTTCGAATTATTGAAATACATGACAAAGTAAGCCCCATAAAAACTTGTGTAAAAAATTATATAAAAAAAATAATGCCATAAATCCGTCCTTATAATAATACAATAACTCAAACTATTCATTAAAAAAAACAAAAAACAAAAAGATTGTACTAAATAGTACACAAGTTCAACATCAACATCCCCAATTGCTTATTCAATTAGACTAAATGGTCCTGTCCGGTCTGACGTATGCCCTACATATTGGTTCCAAGTTTCAAACACCAGCAACGCTGCCGGCTCCAAGCAGAGCTCACAATTTCCAACCATGTCCTCCAAATGGCGCGCAATCCAGCACCGCCACCGCTACACCTACAACACCGTCGTATTCCCCGCCACCTATACCGATTCCCTGAATTCCCTCCCGCCGCAAATCGCCACCTCAAAGTTCTTCTCCCTCCTCAAAGAGCTAGTCTCTCTGAACTCCACCTACTCCCAGCTCAACCACACCAAGGGCCTCGCCGCTGCTTTCGGCGACGTACTCGCCTGTGGGGACGAAGCTCTGGTCTCCGAAGCGGCGCCGTTTTACTTGGAGCTTCTGTTTCTGGAAAATTCATTGCCTCTGCATAAAACTCTCGTCTCTGTTTTGGCAAAGGCGCGAACTTTCCAGCCTCTGATCCGGCGGTGCTATCGGAAGCTATGCGAAGACTACGGCGGCGGCAGGGGGAAGCGGTTCTGTGTGTCCCGGTCCGCCTTATCGGTAATGGGTATGCCAAAGTTGGGGTTTTTGGTTGAAATTGTGGAAGAATGCGCCGTTTTAATTGCATCCGATACGGTTTCGAGCTTGGATGCTCTGATTTCGGAGACGAAAGCGTACTCTCGGCCTTCTCCGATCGTTATGGAGCAATGCCAGGAGGCTCTGTCTTGTTTGTATTATCTGCTTCAGCGCTTCCCTTCGAAATTCGAGGAGTTTAATGGTGGTTCTGATAATGATGGTCGATTGAATGTGTTGGAGATGAGTGTGACTGTCGTTTTGAGCGTTCTGAAGTCGGTGGCGTTTTCGAGAGATTGTTATGTGGCTGCTGGAGTGAGCTTCTGTGCAGCTCTGCAAGTGTGTCTCGGCCCCGAAGAGCTCGGCTTGTTTATAATTGAAGGTATTTTTCACCCAACTGATTGTATTAGTAGTTTAGACGCTAATGCTGATAGTGAAAGGAGGAATGTCATTGCCAAACTTCCTTATAAAGGGGATATGTACACCGAAATTCATAGTTTATCTGACATGAGTAGACTTTGCTTGATACGGGGGATTCTTACTGCGGTTTCGAGAGCAGTGCTTAATACCCATTTTGATGTGTCAAAGGGTAGTTCGAATGGCTACGAGAGTCATACGAGTGGTGGCAACTGCGTTAAGACTATACTGTATGATGGAATTTTGCCTGAGTTATGTAACTACTGCGAGAACCCTACCGATAGCCATTTTAACTTCCATGCGTTGACTGTGTTGCAGATGTGTTTGCAACAAATAAAAACTTCAATGTTAGCTAGTCTTACCATCACATCCAAGGATTATGATCCGATCCCAGTGGAGATGGGAACCCGGATATTGAGGATCATATGGAATAATTTGGAAGATCCTTTGAGTCAAACAGTCAAACAAGTTCATCTCATTTTTGATCTCTTCCTAGACATTCGATCCACTCTTCGCTGGTCAGAAGGTAGTGAGAGAATAAGGTCATTCTTGCAAAGCATTGCTTCAGATCTTCTTCGTCTGGGTCCTCGCTGCAAGGGAAGATATGTTCCTTTGGGTTCACTGACAAAGAGATTGGGTGCAAAAACTATGTTGGATATGAGTCCTGGCTTGCTGTTTCAGACTGCACATGCGTACATTGATGATGATGTGTGCTGTGCTCTCACGTCGTTTTTGAAGATTTTACTTGAGGACTTGCGTAACGAGTGTTGGAGAAGTGATGGTATTGAAGGTGGTTATGTGCTTTATAGGGGGCTTTGTCTGCCTCCATTTTTGTCTGGACTTGCTTCTGGGGTTTCAAAGCTCCGCTCTAATTTGAACACTTATGCTCTGCCAATTTTACTTGAAGTGGACGAGGACAGTATATTTGCTATGCTTGCTTTTATTTCAGTTGGTCTGAGCAAGGGTGAAAGTCAACTGTTATGTCCTGAGCTCTATCATGGAAACATAGAACTGAGAGTTGAACAGAAAGTGGCCATCTTAGTTTCACTGCTGAAGGTATCTCGTTTACTTGCATTGCTTGAAGGGGACATTGATTACGCAGCACATGAAAATTTTGGTGAACTAGAAACAAATTTCCCCGACCGACATGCTCTTGTTTCTATCAAGGGGATAAAGGTTGAAGTTTGTGTTGAGTGGCTAGTGCTGGCATTGACCCATGTTGATGATTCATTACGCGTGGACGCTGCAGAGACACTTTTCTTGAATCCCAAGACAGCTAGTTTACCTTCCCATTTAGAGCTCATGTTATTAAGGGAAGCAGTGCCATTGAACATGAGGTGTTGCTCTACAGCTTTCCAAATGAAGTGGAGTAGCTTGTTCAGAAAGTTTTTTGCTCGGGTCCGAACAGCCTTGGAGAGACAATTTAAGCAGGGACGCTGGCAACCCCTGGAGCATAGTAACAGCAATGGAATGCATCCTTCAAATGGAAGTGAACATACTGAAGCAAACAGAGCGAGCGATCTTTTTTATTTCATGAGGTGGTTAAGTTCATTTCTATTTTTCTCTTGCTATCCGTCTGCACCTTATAAGAGAAAAATAATGGCAATGGAGCTCATTCTAATAATGCTCAATGTTTGGTCTATTGTGCCTGCTACTCAAGAAAAAAATGGTTCTTTATGTGTGGAAGACCGGCTCTATCCATATAATAAAGGAATGACCTCACCTGATTCAACTTTGTTGTTAGTGGGATCCATAATTGATAGCTGGGACAAGCTGAGAGAGAATTCTTTTCGCATCTTGTTGCATTTTCCAACCCCACTTCCTGGAATTTCAGATGAAGGTATGGTCAAGAATGTGATTTTATGGGCTAAGAAATTAGTTTGCAGTCCACGAGTGAGAGAAACTGATGCTG